ATCCTCCGATTTATAGGCTACTTATCAATCCTGTTTTTATCATCATTATAATTTAAAAAATGAATAAATTCAGAACAGGATTATAATATAATTCTATTTTAAATAAGACAGAAATATTTTTTCTACAACAACAACAACAGTAGTGTTTACAACAGCAAAACCACCATACCCTGTAAACTCAATAATAATAATAGGCCTAATTTAATTCCGTTTCTATTTTCAGAGTGATTAAGAGGTGCAAAGAACTATTTATTTAACTTTTAAACTTAAAATGGTCTTTTCTGTTCTGTGTTTCTTTTTCAAAACTGCATCACGGCATTTGCTGCATCCGTTTCGATACATGTCTCAGCAAGGAGCACAGCCCTAAAAGCCGTGCTCCATGTGCCCCTTTTATACTTTGAGCACCTGCCCCTCCAAAGGTCTCTGCACGGCCCTGTGTGGCTTTATATGTAATATTTTCATTGGCAAAATTGAGCAAAAACAGACAATATTGTATTTAAAATATAACGCAATATTAACTTCTTGTTTACTGAACTGTTGTATAAAATCACATTTGCACTCATGTTATTTGGGACAAAAACAACATTCTGGTGATATTGCTCTCACTGCTCATGATATTAATATTATAATATATATATAAATTATAATATGATATAAATATGAGACAAAAACTCATACAGTGTAATTTTTTGGCAAAATATCTTGAATTTTAGGGACACATAATTGCATTTATGGACTACATCACACAGTGTTTGACAACAGCCACATGTATGAAATGTAAGATGACGTACAGGTCTGGGGTGGGGCCAGTGCATTAACTGCATTAAAATATTTTAATTGTATTATTTTTAATTAATTATATTAATGCATTGAATTGACAGCCCTAATATATACAGTGTATATATATATATATATATATATATAATGCAAAGAAATATTGCTAATGTGGGAAAAGGACCACTTCTTTTGGAGCCAGATGTCCTTCTAGTGTAGACATGATACAGAGCTGAAACTTACCACTGACATCCTAAGATTTTAAGTAAAGTGGAGACATGCTGTGTTCACGCCATGTTATAATAACCATAATTACTAGATGACAACTCTGGACGTTCTACTTGGGGCGGTTCATGTCCTCTGACTTAGAATTATGTATTTTAATGGCAACACTATTAGCACAAAAATGAAACTCTACGATTGAAGCAATCAATAGACAAAGCCACAGTACTACAAATAATAGTCATTATGCAAGTGGCTTATTAATAATGTTATAGGTTATTTTTAGTGGAACATTAGACAGTTATTCAACTATGTGCTACACTGTAAAAAATGACCGTGGATTTAACGGTAAAAGACTGTAAAAATGCTACTACGGTAAAATTCCGGCAACCACAGCTGCCGGTTTTTTACCGTAAATTTTACGGAATTTTTTTTACAGTGTAGCTACATTAAACTGTATGGTATGTTTGCTTGTGTGAACGCTTTTTACAATCCGGAATCTCGTAATTACAGTAATTTCAACATGTCATGATTCTGCTGTGAAAAAAACTGTAGTATGTATTATATCTGGAGGCTTTTGTGTGAGCAATGCTTCTGACATAGTTTTTGCCATTTCCATTCACTGACAGGGAAACTGATGCAAATTGACTTGGATAAAAATCTTACGTTGAATCATTTTGGAGAATGCTTCAGGGGCTCCAGACATATGAAACTATATTCATGGATCAAATGATAAATAGAAGCTACGTCCTTACATTCAATTCCCCTTGATAAGATCCAAATACACCTCCTTCGCCACCCAGGCAGATAGGAGAAAATTACCCCAAAAATGATGGAATCATTAATCGCTGAACAGTTCATGAAGAAAACACCATGCCCCTTCATATTACTTTAGCCTATTAAAACAACATAGTGCTGAGATAGTATGACGGTAGATCAAGCTTGTAAATGCCTCGTTGACCTCTTGGCTTATTACTTGCAATTATATTTCAAGGGAGTAAAAAAAGATGCATTTTAATAAGGTTCCTCCGAATGAATAATTAATTCAGCGTGAACTGTCGACTTTCACACTGTGAGCCTCCATGGCAGCACAGCCATAAACAGTCTGAGAGCAGCTGCTCTGCCAGACACAGACTGGGGCTTGTTTTCAGAAACTTCTTCCTCTTGTCACAGGCACAAAGCACAACAGTCTCCCATTCTGTGGGCTGAAGGATGGATCTGTGGAGGATTTTTTACATCATTTCTGATGGCTTTTTCCCTGTGTTGGTATCTATCAGAATGGTGATATCCAATGTGGGGGACACATGTACCTCATGGGGATTCTGTATTGCTATACATGTAGCTGTGGACACAGTTCCTTTTTAAGGAAAGAATATATAAATATCAATAATAAAATAAAATATTAATAAGTAATATATTTAATATATTTGAATTATGAATATAATGTATAATTTTATGCAATTTTATAAGATTATAAATTTGCATCAGTCAAATTTGTGGTAGAATTCAGTATGTGATATTTAGTAGTTCACCCCCCAAAAAAGAAAAAATTCTGTTAATTTACTCACCCTCAGGCCATCCAAGATTAAGGTGACTTTTTTCTTCATTATAACAGTAAAGAAGATTTTTAGCTAAAACCGTGGTGCTTGGTGATTCATAAAATGCAAGTCAACAGCTACCATCACTTTGAGAGTCAAAAAAATATATCAGGCAACATAAAATTAATACCTGTGGCGATATATTGAGGTCTTATGAAGTGATCGAATGAAACAATCAGTCATGAACATTATTTACAACATTATACGTGTAAAAATGTAAAATAATAAGTGACCACATATTGTTTGCAAAATTAATTATAAAATTTACCAAAAATTACATGATTAATTATCATTGCATTGATCATAAAAGACAGGAGAATTAAATAATAATAATGTAATTTTTTTTCTGAAATGTTCCTTCCTTATAATTAATATTAATACTTTATTGTTTATGCTGATAAAGGCTAACATATTTGAGCCTTACTGATGGGGCTGTCAGAAAAAAAAAAAAATTTGGGAAACACTGTATCCAAAAAAACTCTGTCCTCAGTATGCCAGTCCAAGGCGATGGCATTAACCTTGATTACAGTGCTCTGTGATTTGGTTTGTGTTGTAAATAATATTCGGTTGTATATAAAAACGAGTCTGTAAACTTTATGGTAGACATAAACAGCGAGTTATGAAGGAGAGGTGTGGCAAATAGCATGTGAGGTTTCACGCTGCTCTCAAGACAACTCAGCTTACGCCTCAAAATTTGTCCTTCATGTACCAGGATTTACATGAGCTTGTAAATTACAACCAAGGACAGATAATCCAATTGGTCGTGAGCATGACAGGTGTATGGAATGACTGACTACGGTGGGCGTAGCAGATCCCGGCGGCCCTTAGGCAGCTGACTTCAGGGTTTTCCCTCTCCTTCTCTCCTACTACTCATCCCTCTTTCTCTCTCTGATAATGTTGCTTTGGTTTGTAGCATCGTTTCTCTGAGGTTAGATGATAACTGAGCAGAAACAGAGCAGGCTGATGAATGAGACAGATCCAGGGGTTGTTACGGCTTGTAATAAATAGTAGACTTATTTTGTATTCCGGGTGGGTGCGTATTGATCTGGCCTCCTCTATTTTGTTGGCATCATGTGTTGAGGGTGCCCCAGGGTTCACCTGCCCACCTGTCAGGGGCACAGAGTGATGGATTAATAGAGCTTTATGGTCTTGGTGGCCATGTTAACCGAACACCTAGGACCCCTGGAGAGAGGGCTTGAAATGGAGTGTAGATGCCACCCCAGACTGTGACCCATTGGTCATGACATCAGCACGGCCAGGTAGGTGAACTTGTGCCCCTGCTGCCCTCTGCCAGCTGGCATAGACATCAAAAAGAGAATGCGGACAGGATGGCAGATGCTTCAGTGGCCATTTGCTGTTGTACTTCTGTTTGTTTACACTGGTACATGATTTCAATACAGAAACAGTGAGATTCACTTCCTGTGATTTGGCTGCTGGTAATTACAGCTGTGCTGATATTCAGAACAAAAGCATGTTTTTTGGAGTGTGTTATTGTTTTTATTCAAGAATTCAAGAAAAAAAAAGTTAATATTGAGTAACTTACTTTATAAACATAATATGGCCAGTTATGTAATTATGTGAATTTTTGCATCATCAACAGAAATAGTTCCAAAACACCAGCATGAACCATTTCTTATCTCTAAGTGGTGGTTTTGTTCCTGAATGAATCACTGTTTCAATTTGCTGAACAAATGTTTTAGTGTCTCACTCATTAAGACAGCCACTTGTTGCATCCTCTGAATGAATCAGTGTGTTTGAACAAATCAATTTAATAATATACCTAATATTCGTTAGAATGCATCCAGTACTATCCCATGAGGCCATGGGAGAGGATTTGTCAATGGCTGTAAAGTGACATAACTGGCACTTACAGGTAACATGACAATGTCAACATGACAAATGTAGCATATCTAGATTGCATTCATACTACACGCATCCATACTATTTTGAGCATTCTTTTTTAAATGTTTGCAAAGTAATTATTTAATCTAAAGAAGTACCTAGTCAGAGAGTTTGCAGTTTTGGATGAAGCCACTC